CCACGCTCAGGTAGTCGTGGATAAGCCTAGGAGAGAGCAGAGCCAGCATGGTTCCTGAGAGCTGATCACAGCCTTGGAAAAAGCCAGCAGTCCCAGGAAAGAGGAGGTGAACAGCCCCAAAAGACTGTTTACTTTGCCATCCCTCACCCAGCCTGGTGCTGAATTGCACACATAGTCCTGGCCCAGAAAACCCCGCTCCGTGCTAAGCCTGATGCAAAAGGAAGGTGCGTTGGAGGTACCACCATGACAAATGCAGCGCCCTGGGACCCGGCTGGCACTGCTAATTGTGGTCTCTCGGCACCAGCCAGGGCTGCAGGACAAAGGGAAACAATGGGACTCTGTAATTGCCCCTCTGCTCACAGGGCACACAGGCTGTAATCAGCTGCTAGCAACATTCAGCACCAGGCGCTGAGCTGTTCACTATCAGATGAATATCCAGCACAAAAGGCCACAGGGGATCCCACTCAAGAGAGCTAACTGCCTCAGAGAGCTGTGCCAGGGCTGCCCAGTGGAGTGAGGAGCCTTAGACACAGTGTCTAGACTGGAAACACGCATCAAGGAGAAGCGGATGGGCTCTCCCCTTTCAGAGCTTGCCAAGAGCAGGCAGGGCCCAGCCCGGAGGCTCTGCATTCAGACACGACTCTGGTTACCACACACGGAGCTAACACTCCCCAGAAGACTGCAGCAAATGTGCTGCCACAGCCCTGCACTCAGTTAGGCAACAAGCTCCAGCTCCTGTGCAGGGAGGGGTGAGGCTGCAAGCCCGGCTTGCCCAAGAGCTTCCGCTTCACACCCGGAGCCAGGACCTCGGCCACTGCTTCTGTGATGGGAACAGAGGTGACCTTAGACCCCTGCAGCAACAGCCAGGGTAACTCAACCACAACAGCCACTTCTGCAGCCAGCAGGACAGGACAGCTGGCACAGACTGCTGCTATCAGCTCAGCTCGGCAGGAACCTACAACACCCTGGCACAACACTGGGAATAGCATTAGTACAGGGTCTTCCCAAATGGCAACTCCAGCTGGGAGGACAGACAGAGGTTTCTGCAGCAGCTTGTGGCTCCCAGAGCACAAGATATCCTTGTGCTCGCTTTTCTGGAGCTGCACTGCAAACTGCTGGCCCAAAACTCCCCAGGCCCCAGCCTTAGCAGCAGCTCTCACTCTCCCAGAGGAAAGGACCACAGGGGACAAGGTGAGTCAGCTGCAGCAGCATTCCCATGACATGTGTGACCTGCAGGTACAGCCCCTTCAACTTACTTAGTGCATTCCTTGAAAAGCTCCTTGGAAGGTTCCTGCTCCAGTCTCTCACAACAGGCATCCACCAGTTGTGAGGGAACTTCAGGCACATGGTCCTCACTCTGGGGACAAAAGGATGGAGTCAGACAGAGGGAGCAGAGTCCAAGGGTCCTGCCTTAGGGTCAGTGGGCAAAGCAGTGTGGCAGCTTGTGAGGTGGTGTGGTGGCTCAGCATGTTTGCTGTGGCAGGACATGGGCAATGTCAGCTGCTGGCTTTCCAACTGTTCTACCTTTGCAGGCAGCAAACACGACCCTCTTACTCACATTTGGCTTCAAGTACTTTTCAATCAGGTGCTGCCCACACTCTTTCCTCTTCTCATCTGGAGCAACTTCGTACCCTGCCTGGAGAGTACAGTGTGAGGGTCGGGTCCAGCCAGAAACCCAGCCTTGCTACTGGGCAACAGCTGTGGAGCAGCAACACCCTCTGCCCAAAGTTTCCCATACTCTTCTTGAAAACCAGATCTCCAGCAAACATCTCCCTAAGCAAAGGCCCAGCCCTATCTGTGCTCCAATTCACAAGTTTTTCCTACAGGAAAACCCAATGTGCCCAGAAGTACCTGCTGGAGCACCCAAACAGTTCGTGCCCAGGGTGTCAGAACATCCCTGTCTCCCCCAATGAAGCCTGACAGGCTTTGCTCTTACCACGGCGTCCAGGAACTTGACACAGCGTGAGAGCTCGGAGCGTGTCTCGCAGAACTGCCGGAAGAGCATGTGCCCAATGGGCTGCTTCTCGCACAGGCTGTGGTAGTCCCGCTCTGCAAACGAGGAGAAGGTCACGCTGCCAAATCCCAAAGGAGCAGTCCCAGCCCACTGCCCTGGCCAGGCAGCAGTGGGGGTACTGTGACTCCTCAGCTGGGCTGCTGACAGGTCCCACCAGCCAGAGACTCCCAGGAGAGTAAAGTGTATCCAGTGGGATGAGGGACTTTGTTCTGTTCAGCCTGAACCTCTTGTTCCCAGCCAAGGACCTCCATATCAGCTGCTTGCCTGAAGGCTCTCTCCTCTCTCCACAGACCAACTACTCCAGACACACAACTTTCCTTGGAACTTGAGGAACACACCAAGCTTATCTCAAGGCAGATCTTCCAGGCCAAGAGTTGTTCTGATGACTCCTTCAAACCACTTGTGTTCACAAAAGCCCTGCTGGAAGCAGCAGCATCAAAATGGGAGGCACCATTCCCACAGATGCCTTGTTGATGTGCACACAGCAGTCAAAACTCCCCACTCCATGGGACAACCACTTTCTTGGACATCAACTCTTGCAGATTCCTTCTACACTTCTCTGAACTCTGGCATCCCAAGCACAAACCCCTTTGACTATCCAGAGCACTTCCAGTTCTCTGCTTTTTTCCTCCCCTTCCACTCATGAGATGTTGTCTGGTCACAGGCCAGAACACATTTCTGTGACAGCCACTGCCACCGAGGGCTGGGGGCTGCCTGCAGTGCAGATGTGCAGCCACCCAGGGGATCCCAGCACTGGGTACTCCCAGCCTTCCCCTCCCTGTGCAGCAGTTTCTCCCGAGGAAGCTGCAGCTTCCTGAGGGTGCAGGGGAGTGCAGAGCCAGGCGGGCTGTGGTGGGGGAGGAGGTGGCCTCACCAGCTCTGCCGCACCAGCCGGTTTCCTTGTGTCTGCAGGGGAAGGAGTTCCCTTCAGCTGGGGAGGACCAGAATTTGTTGTCGGCGAGATCACAAGCTTTTGGCTGCCCTGGTCGCTGCCCAGGCTCACACAAGGTTACTCCCTGTGGTCAGGGCACAAAAAGCTTAATTCTGCAGTGGGCAACCAGCCCACCGTGCCCACGGTCCTGCCAAGACTCTGGAATAGGAAAGAAACTCCTTTCCAGCAGGCAATGAGGTGAAAAGAGAGACACCCCAGCCAAAGAGTGCCCAAGCACAAGGAACAGGGTCATCTCTCCCATGGGAAAACCAAGTGAAGCTGCTGCCACCTGGGTCAGAGCACTTCTCACGTGCCTCTCTGAGGGGAAGTGAGACACGGGTGGTGACAGCCAGTGGCTGGGAAGGACTTGCTTCCCAAATCTTCACAAGGTCGCTGTCCTGGATAGCAGCACAGCAGACACAGAGACCACCAGCACTCAATGCTGGCAAATGCGTGAAGTTCAGTGCTGGAAAACATCATGACAGCCACAGGAAGGGTGGCTGCAGGCATAGGATGGACAAAAGCTGAGGGCACAGCAAGTCAAAGAGGCAGAAAGCAGTTGGATGGTCAAGATGGGAATTGCAAGGAGAGCCAGAGTCCTGTTCAGCACTCAGACCTTGCACCAGAGAGGCAGCCAGCAGCAAATCCAAGGCTGGAGTCTCCATACAGTCACATCTGGCTGTGAAGCCAGCCCTGAGAGATGGTGCAAGGGCTGTGTGGCAGAGGGAGGTGGGGACAGCTTGCATTGGGCTGCTGTGAGCTCGAGGGTTCCAGTGTGGATGAGTGAGACTGACTTTCTCCAAGTACTACAGTTCCATGGGGCCCAAAGGACTGCCAGGACTGGAAAACCTGGGCAGGGCAGAACTGAGAATTTGAGCTGCAGAAACCTCCCAAACCCATTCGTTTCAGTGACACCTGCTCTGAAACAAGGCCAGTGCTGTGCCACTCTCCAGCTGGCAGCTGAATCCGGATTGAAAACTTAAACAAGCTCTCCTCTTCCCAGGAAGCAAAGCACTTGCACTCTCTGTGCCCCAAAACAATTTCACATGATCTCAGGACCAAGCCTGCTGCACAAACAACATTAAAACCATGAAGAGTACAAAGTACAGAATGAAAATGACAGGCCAAGCCCTGCTCAACACCAGTTCTCATCCACTCCACACAGCAAGAACCCAGTTTGCCTGACAAGAGCTACTGCTTGAATGTTAGAAGCTGAGGTCTGTGGAGCTGAGCTGAATCCAGCCAGGGAGAACAGAGAATGTTAGCAGGACCTTTGTTATTTTTACAAAGGCACCCCAGAGTGACACTCCAAAACTCTAAAGCATGGAGCAGGTCTGTTTGCACACAGAAGGTGATGTTCCCCTAGTGAAGCTCATCAGTCTTACACGTGTGTGGGTACATGACCAGCCACTTACCTACCTATTATTTCCTCCCCACCCTGAACTCCAAGTAATCCTGGCTGGAATTTGCCCCGTTATATGTCCCTGACACTCAGCTAGGGATGCACAACTCCCACCCACACACTGGCCCACTGGCTCCCACCAAGCACTGCATCTCACCCAGGGTTTGCCGAAGGTCCTCGCAGAGGCTGATGTGAGGGAACTGCAGCATCTGGCGCCATTTCTTGCTCTTGCCTTTCCGGTTTCCTCCACCACCTGCAGGGCACACAAAATCTGTACCATGAGTCAGGAGGCAAAGGTGTCTGACTGCAGCCTAGCCTGGCCTGAGGAAGGAGCCTCTCTCTAAGTCCACGCAAGAAAAATGAGACCTAAGTGGTACCACCATCTCCTGAAGGGGCAGAAGCCTTGACTGGAAATGGACAGACCAACCTCTGGATGCTGAACAAATCCCAAACAAGAACTTGAACACCTTTCATGATGGGAGAATCCCACCAGGGGCAGGAGAGTCCACAGCCAGAGCAGTTCTTGGCTCCCAGCCTGTCCCTTAGCAGCTCTGCATAACTAATCACCCCTCCAGGCCATGCCCTGCTTGGTGTGAAGCTTTTCCTGGTGCAGTAAAGGTGTTCATGCCATCTATTTATTCCAGACTGATTGCTTACTCCAGGGAGGGGCTCTCAGAGGGAGGACATAAAAACTGGGAGACAGGAATTCCTGCTCTAATCCTGGCTCCACAGACAACCCACTTCATTGCCTGGGGCTCATCACTTCAGTTTCCCACCTGTGAAGTGGGGACACTCCCACCTTTCTCCAGAGATAAACCAGCCTCAGAAAATCCAGATCCAAGAACCAGGTATTATTCCAGCTTCAGCTGCTGGAGTGAATGCCCAGTGCTGTAGGACAGGGTGGGAAAGCTTCTAGATAGACCAAAAAATTTACATCATAGCAAGCACTAAGTACCGATTGCTGGGATCAGCCAACCTCCAGGGATTGCTTTCCCAGTGCCAACACACACAATTTCCCACCTCTCTTTGGAAATCCATTAAATCACCCTGCCAAAGTGGTCAGGCCAAGAGTTGGGCCCAAGGCCCGGCCTTCTGAAATCACAGAGGGGTTGAACATAATTTATCACCTCTTGAGAAACACTTTCATAACACTTTCCTCCACTGCAGATGCAGTTCAGCCCCAAACTCTAGACACAGCTCCCCGGCATCCAGCTCCCTGCGCTGCCGGACGCCCCACACGGACAGGCAGGTGGGATTGGGGCCATCCTGGTCAGCCTCATGCAGTGCCAGCCCCAGGTCCGAGCCCCTGGCACACCGTGGGTCCCTGCACTGCATCTGCCCTGCACCAGCAGCTGGGCCGCACGATTGTACAAACTCAGGAAGGAAGTGACTCAAGGCTAAGCAGGGCTGGAAGAAACCAGCGGCGCAGACACCTTCTTGTCAGCGACAATGAAGCGGATGGGGGCAGCGAAATGAGGGCAGGGGAGGACAGGCCATCCTCACCCCAAGAGAGCTCAAGGAAAGGCAGAGCAAAGCCCCACAGCACCCGGAGGTTGCATTTCCTTGAGTTGTTTGCTTTGAAAGGAGGCTCCAGCGTCCTTCATGCGCGGTTCTCCCCCGCCCTCCCAGCACTGTGGCCCCACAGTCCAGCAGGGAGCTGGGCTCCTGCACAGCAACCTCCCAGCACCCCTGGCTGGGGATGGGCCAAGGGGCTGCCTCCACCCAGAGCTCTCCAGAAGCAAGCTTCAGGGCTGGGTGATGGATGGGAGCTGGTCTGCTGTCCCTCTGTCAGGGCAAGAGGGATAAGAACCCTTCACCTTCCCTAGGCCCGATCAAACACAGGGCATGGTTGTGCTGTGGCAGCAGCTGAACGTGGTTGTCAGCAGCTCCTCAGCACATCCCAGCTCAGCTCTGCACTCCCACACCAGCCTAGGAAGCTCCAAAAATACTGGGCTGGAGAAAGGAACCCAGCCCTGTTGGATCTGGCCTGCAAAATTGCTCTGTCCTGTCACAGAAGTTGTCTGAGCTCACCCCAGTGGCCACCACAGCCGCAGGTGGGAGAGCCACAGACAGGCAGCACAGACACCTCCGGCTCCCACAGCCCAAGAACCACCTGGTACAAGTGTGTTGTTGAAACGGGGTTGTTTCTGCCTGCAAACTGCCCACTGTTGCCGAGGGAGAGGCACCAGCGGAGCACCAGGAGCACCAGCCGTCCAGCACCTCATGCTGCATCAGTGCCAAAACTCCACTCCCCAAGGGCACAACAGGAGCCAGTCTCTGGGTCACTCTGTGTGAAGCTGGGCCTCGTGCCTGGAGGTCACAAACCCTGCTGCTTGGTTTTGAACCTAACCTTGCCATTATGAACCCAAACGTCATGGTCCACCACGGTCGCTGTGCCAGGAGTACTTACACTTAGCCTGGTTTTAAAGCAGATTGGAAATGTTTCTGCCCGTGCAAATTTAATTTCGCTGCTTTTTGCTCCCACAAATCTAATCTCCAAAGCTCTCTAACTGGATTTCAGTGGGTCTCTCAGATTCCAGGATGGCTCAGTCTGACCAACTGCACACCATGGGACAGGGGACACTGCACTTCCCCACCACATACGTGATCTAATGAACGCATCGATGCCTGGCTGAAGCGGATCTTCTGTGCAAAGCACTAGGATCCTGTGTGAGACATCCCATCCCCTCCTGAGGCTTCTCCACGCAGCTCGCCTGTTGCAGCCCCGTTGCTGGCAGGCTGCATCCCACACGGGGCCCTGGGGTTCAGCGTGGCCCTGGAGCAGCGGGAGCGGTGTGGGCCCGCAGCAGAGCTCCAGGAGCCCCGCAGATGGGGGCCGGGGCTGCTGTGAAGGAGGCGGACGGGTGGGGCTCCCCGCTGCAGTTTCGGGATCGGCCCGTGTGTGGGAAGCAGCAGTTTACCGGACCGAAATAAACTTTTTTTTTTTTCTCCTACAGCACCCAGAGCTGCCTCTCCCCGGTGCCAGAGGAGCTGGAGCAGCCTCTGGAGTGGGCAAGGCGGGCGGAAGATGGGGCG